TGATCGGGATGTTACCGCTATGAAATGAATCCTTGAATTGAGAGAAGTGGTGATCGGTAACTAAAGGGAAAGGGAGACAATCGATAGCGTTGGTAGGCGACGTTATCTGTGATTAGTACTTTGAAGAATTTTCTCCAATAAAATGAATAAATGTTCTGGACGTGAGGTGTTCACAGATGTGCTTCACTTTGTCTTTGTGTTGTTTCTCAGAAATAGATGACGCCAGCTTGCAATGCTTCCCTTTACCTCAGTCACCGACTGCTTCCGGGTATATGACGGTTGCTCATACTGTGAATTTTTACTCGTCCTATGATACAAAAATTCGAACGAATCACAGCTCCTAAAGCAAGTTGGTCGTATAATGTTGCACTCATACTATGAGGTTTTACTGTAATTTAAATGTTTTCTTTTATATAAATTTGTTTATATTTCGGTTTTATTTGAAAGATAATAGCCTAAAGCAAATGCGAATTAAAAGAAAAATTAAGATTTTTTAGACATTCTTAAAACCATGACCCGTTTTCTTGTCCGACACTAGGATATAAAATCCTATATTTTACAACCAATAGGTGAAATACAAATAAATAAGAAAAGCCCATACAGAAACAGATAAATAGAATCAGAATCACTAAAACAAAAACTTTCTACAAATATGTAAAAAAAAAAAAAATAGGATTCCAAATTAAATAAGTAGTTTCTGGAATTTGATTGGACAGTACAGTCATGTGCTATGTTTCCGACTACGTCCATACGTTTGAACTCCAAATGAACTGGTTGCTGGGTGTTATCTTGCGTAAACCGAAAAGCTTTTGTTTGGAGCCAATCACATGATCAGGATAACTATATACATACCAATTTTGGGGACATTAAAAACACACAGTCAGCAGCTGGACGTGGGTCACCTGTTGATGACAGGCGGTTGGACCTGTAAACAGCCGACCAGAATTCTCTCGTTAGTAACATGACAGCACCTCAGTCAGCGATGACAACATACCATTCAAAGGAATATTCACATTACTCAAAAAAATACTCATAGCCATAAAAAAGTAAGTCATATCGTCTATCTGTATGTCCATTTCCTTTTAAAACCTCTGTAATCAGATTTCACATATTAGCACTCTCACCACAAAGTTTCAATGTACCCCGTTAAAATGTGCTTCAGACACACGCACATATATGCACGCTTTATATTGACCAAGGCATATGACTTTTTATGAAATATCTTTAACAAATAGAAATTTTGTCGAGCATTTGAACTTTGATTTTTTACGACCAGAACAAACACAATGTTTACCATGTAAAAACGAATGTTATTATGTACATAAATATGTGATTATTTCAATTTGGCATTATGTTTTATTTGTGGGAACAACACACGGATTTTAATTTTTCACTTTTAATCTGGGTAAACTGACCCTACATTATATCGATTCATCAAATCGCCATTATAGTTGAAATGTGAAAACAAAAAATTTAAAAATCGAATATTTATCCTAGAGATATGTTTCGATGTGATTTAGTAAATTTATAGATTTTGTAATGTTTACATTTTAGCTAAAATTTAATGAAATTAAATGACGTTTATATCTATGCACGGTAGACTATGGATTTAGGTACTAAAAATATTTTTAAAACACGAAAAATAAAACTACAGGAGACCAGAAGTGCAATAATGAAAACATTTGTATTTATGTTTAATAATACGTTATATTTAACATTATATAACCAATAGTTTAAGAATATTTTTTATGCAATTTAAGAAAATTAGTAGAATGAATAATTTTATTTTTAAAATGAGAAATATTTTTTTTATACTTTTCAATTTAATGAAGAGATTTTATTCATTTATTTTATTTTAGTACCAGTTTGAAATTATGAAATATCTAATTTGCACCCAATATGTTATTTTCAGTTATTCTGAATTTAAGAGTTATTGAATTATCGTATTAATCTTCCAGAAGGAAAAGTAGTCAAAAAGCAGTAATTCAGAATTATTTCCTTTTTGAACATCCATACCAAAAATAATCGACTATTTGCTAGAATTAAAAAAAAGTAAATCTCTTTTTACAAAAAGTGCCCACACTCGAAAATAGAATTAAATTTATATTTCTTTTATTAATCACTTATATCTCCATTTCATTAAAAGTATTTAAAATCTATCATTTTGTTTTTTATTGACAAATCTGTTAAGACCACATAATTCTCTGTATTAAGAAATCTTTAAAAAATATAATTGTAGAATAACAATACAATAAACAGCACTTACTGGCGTAAGGGTCCCAGCTAGCGTCCAGCTGGCAGACAAAAACAAAGCAGACCCTGCAAACTAACTGATGAATCAAGCTGGTATTTATACAGAAATACCTCCACTCATGTACCAGCAGCCAATCACAGCCCAAGCAATGGACTATCCCACTTTAGCACAATGAGATGCTCCATGGCACCATAAATAGCTCTCTTAAGATTGAGTTATGATTCACTCAGCTTGCTCCACAACTGAGTGTTTATCTTGACCGTGTGATTGTTCTACAATAATATACTTTTCTACGTTGAGAAAAATTAGTCCTTTTCAAGCTTAATTAAGCTGAATTGAAACTGTTATGAAGTTCGTACATGCACAATTTTAGTCGTAGTAGTCGTCGTCGAAGTGACTTTTTCTCCCAGTCTATCTCGAGTTCTGTCTATATATAGTAGTATGGTTATGTTAATTAGTAATAGCCTAAAAATCCCACTACACCTCCCGGAACCTTTTAGGTTTAACTCCCTGAGTTGACCTATTGCTTCTCCTACATACCCTCCCCCCCTTTCACTGGTTTCAAGAGGATTTCTCATTATAGGAGATCTCGACCTACATCTTTCTTCTTCAATATCCACTGTTTCGTTTTCTGATTCCTCGGAAAAAACCCTTGAGCACTTTTAGCATCCCCCTACCATTTTATCAATGTTGAATTTTGTACAATTTTGTGCAAAAGGTGGATCAGAGAGCCTACTCAGCTTAGTAAATATTTTCAGGAAAAATCAGCTTCTAATTGGTCAATAAACACACAAGTGGGCGTTGCAATCCAACCACGTACAAATATTTTTCCAGCGCGTGACCAAGTCAAGTTCCCTGCCAATTTGCTGCGATCCTGATTACATTATCTATAAATAGCAGACGCAAGCTTGCTGCTTTCTCTTTTCTCTCTCTTCTCGCTACAAGATGTAGTCTTAAAGGATTATCGTCTCGACCATGGATGGTCAGACGTTAAAAGCATATTCACGCACGCACGTACGTTCGTAAGTACGTACGAACTTTTCCAAACTACATTACAAACATGCAGAACATTTCCAAACAAGCAGCAAGAACTTTTCTCTTTGAAGCATTCTTCTAAAACTACAGTTTATTCAGCATTTCTCAGTTTTTGTTATAGTACAACACACCTATTCTATAGTTAATAGACTCTCCCACCTATAATAAGTAGGAGTAGTAAGAGTAACAAGTCAGTCGCTCAGGGTGTCGGTCAGTCAGTCGATGCCGGACGACCGTTAGTCGGATACTAAAGTATCAGCGACCACCACTAGATTTCTCTGCGTCATTACCTATTATATCAATTTCCTAACGTTTTGTACGTCGAACCTATTTTAGGACCGACTTAGTACAAATACAAGCCTCCACTGTGAAATCACTCCATAACAGCTTTGTAATTAATCCAACTTTTGTGAGTTCAGATAAATATATGCACAGTCTAAGGAATATAACAGCCACAGATCTTTAACTTCTAGGCATGTGCATCAATATATACAAATAAATAAATACAAATGTTATGTTTTTAAAACCATTTTGTTCCTTCTTGTATTTCATGTTATGTGGTATTTTACGTCAAATATAAATTGTGTGGTCATGTTATTCACGCAGCCATAAACAGACATCTTGTTGCGGGGCCGAGTAGGATGTCGCCCCCGCAAGTTTTTTATGTAGATAAATGTGAACAGCTAAGACAATGAGGGGACAAAGGCAAAGGTTTTGGTTATGAACAAAAGTGTTGAATTTATTTAACACAATTACATCGGTGTGGTTTGGTATGAACTGGTTGATCTACGGACGTGGCTGGTTCGGTCAAATATAGGTGGTCTGGTCCGGTAGTTGGTTTGGTAGGCAAACGTAGCTGGTTCGGTCGGAATATAGTAGGTCTGGTCCGGTAGTTGGTTTGGTAGGCGAACGTAGCTGGTTCGGTCAAATATCGAAGACGGAGTCCCTAAACAGGGCCAAGACAGAAACAGTAATACGACTCCGCTGGGCGGATCGACCGCGGAAGCGGGATCGCGCCAAAGTGTATCACCAGACGAAGAACGGAGTCCCTAAACAGGGCCAAGCCAGAACCGGTAATACGACTCCACAGGGCGGATCGACCGTGGAAGCGGGATCGCGCCAAAGTGTATCACCAGACGAAGAACGGAGTCCCTAAACAGGGCCAAACCAGACCAGTGATGCGACTTCACAGGGCGGATCGACCGCGGGAACGGGATCGCGCCAAAGTGTATCACCAGGCGAAGACGGGTCAGAGAGGTGTTACACCTTCCAGGGCGGATCGACCGTGGAGACGGGATCGCGCCGAAGAGTAACACTCTCGACAAAAGCACCGGAAGTTCACAAAGGCAGCGTACTACACTTTGATCCAGGCCTCCGGGCCGAGCAGCTTGGTTTGGGCGAAAAAGTGCTCCTGGCTAAAGGGAGTAGAAGACCGTAGATAATTAATTACTGTCTATGGTTGCTGATGTTTGAATGGCTCTGCATAGTCAGATGCACACTAGGTATGGTTTGGCATCAACGATATTGGACTAGCCGTCCGGTTTCTCGCATGTTGCTTGACCTAGATCTGCGAGATCGGGAATTGTGAAGGTCAAGGTCGGTTTTCTAAGGAGCGGATAATCGGCGACCGCGACAAGGCCCTTCCCCAGAAAATTGATCATATCAATTAATAATAATAATATTTACGAAGGTCTTTAGGGAAAGTGACCTCCTACCGGATCGGGTCTGCCGCACAGGAGTCGCTGGGGTGTCGTTTGATGTCTGCGGTGCTGCGTCTGCTGCGTCTGTTGGGTGCGCTGAATAGCATTAGGGGCCGCAGAGCCGGGTTTGCGTCATACTGTCGCTTCTCCAGAAAAGCAGGCTTGGTCCGATCGATTGCGATGGTGTCGGTCGAGTTGGCGCGCTTGATCGTAAGGTGCTTGTCGGTGCGTCGAAGAACCTGAAAAGGACCTTGGTATGCCGGCGTGAGTGGTCGTCTCACGGCGTCGTTCCGTACGAAAAACGAATTTGCAATCTCGCAAGTGTTGAGGGATGTACGAATTCACCGGTTGCTGTCGCGGAGTTGCATATTTAAGCCGGGCCATTTTGTGGCGGAGTTCCTCGACGAAAGGAGATGTTGGTTTTGAAAACGTCTGAAGGGAGTCGTCGAAATATTCGCCGGGTAGCGCAAGAGGTGTACCGAAAACCAGTTCGGCGGGTGAACAACCTAAGTCCTCCTTTACGGTGTTCCTCAATGCTAGGAGAATTAAAGGTAGGTTGTCCACCCAATTGATAGTGTCAGGTCTAGTGGCCAGGGAGGTTTTAAGAGACCGATGAAACCTCTCAACTAAGCCGTTGGCGCACGGATGATAAGCGGTAGTCTTTATGTGCTTGGCGCCAAGTAGATTGGTAAACTCCCGAAAAGGGACGACTGGAACTGTGACCCCTGTCGGTCGTGATGACTTGGGGCGTGCCGAAAGTTCCAATCCACTCTTTCAGGATGGTCCTAGAGACGGTGTTAGCAGAAGTGTCTTTTATAGGTATGGCGGTCGGCCATCGCGAAAAACGATCCACAACCGTCAAAAGATACTGGTAATCTTGACACATCTTGTAATCTTGTCCTTCCCCTTTATGTGACGAATATCGGTGGAGAACTGTGACAGGTAGTCGAGATGCCGGATCTCGCGAGCTGTATACTTGTCAGAGTTGTTACTCATCGCGGTTGTCAACGGTTTATGGTCGGTATAGATGGTAAAATCTCGACCTTCCAGTAAATGCCTGAAATGCCTGACGGCCAGATAAATGGCCAGCAGCTCGGGAGAAGGTGCTATATTTTCTCTGGGCTGGCGAAAGCTTGGCTGAAAAGAATGCGATGGGTTCGCGTTGTGAGTTGAACTCTTGCTCAACCACCGCGCCCACACCAGCGTCCGATGCGTCGGTTGTCAGGAATAGTCGTGTCTCTGGATCGTCGTTGATATGCGAGAGCTTGGTATAATTTGCCAATGCAGCCTTCGCTGTATGGAATGCGTGCAGAGCATCCCCTCCAAAGAGATGTCCTTGTTTCTTCTCTGCAGCAGGTTCGTCAGTGGCTGGAGGATGGTAGCGCAATTTGGTATGAACCGACGATAAAATTGAGCATACCGAGGAAACGTCGCAATTGCTTCATGGACGTCGGTGTAGGAAAGTCCCGGATCGAGCTGATCTTGTCTGGCAGAGGTGCTATGCCGTCTGCGTCGGTGCGGTGCCCGAGAAAGTCAACGCTGGGCGCCCCCAAAACGCACTTGTCCAGGTTCAACTTCAGGCCGTAGTGCGAGAGTCGCTGGAAGACTTCTCGCAGGTGTTGTCTGTGAGAATCGGCGTCTGTACTGGCCACCAAGATGTCGTCGATATAAGCGTATACATGCGGAAGTCCGCGCAGGACTTCGTCTATGAGCCGTTGAAGGTCTGGGCAGCGTTACGTAGACCGAACGGCATTTTAGAAATTCGTATAGGCCAAACGGTGTTGTGACTGCCGTTTTGGGACGTCTTCCGCAGCGACGGGGGATCTGGTGCTATGCCTTTGTCAGGTCGATTTTCGAGAAGATGCGAGCCCCATCAATCCGGATGCAAAATCATGGATATGAGGGACAGGATATCGGTCTGGTACGGTCGATGCATTCAATATCCGGTAGTCGACGCATATCCGAAATTCTTCACCACCAGGTTTAGGCACTAAGTGTAGTGGCGAGGCATAAGGGCTATCGGAAGGACGAATGATGCCATCACTGAGCATTTTGTCGAATTGCTCCTTGGCGTACGCCAGTTTGTGCGGAGCGAGTCGTCGCGGATGGGGTGTGCGGGAGGACCTCGGGTTCTGATGTGGTGCTGAGTCTGATGGTCACCTGAAGCCGTTACTTGGAGTGGCAGCGTTATATCCGTGAACTGCGTCAGGAGATCTAAGTACTCGCGACCATGGCATGTTGCGACGCTGATTCCTGTGGAGCCTTGACGTGTAGGGGTACCTAAGACACGGAGATTCGTCGTCGTATCGGACAGAGTCCTAGGGTTCATATGGACCGCCAGTGCGTAATGCGCCAGGAAATCCGCGCCGAGGATGGGTACCTTCACGTCGGCCACGGTAAATGTCCGCGAAATCGCGTCGCATGCCGATATTCAGAGTAAGGGTCCTTTCTCCGTATGTGTCTATCGCGGAACCATTCGCTGCTCGTAGTTTGATCAGGGTGGGCTTAGCGGTGTGGTCGTTCTGAAGGGGTACCACGCTGATGGCCGCACCTGTGTCCACCAGGAATTTCATCTTGTTCCGTCGATCCCAAACGTAAAATAGACGACATTGCGTGTTGGCACCGGAAGAGTTAGTCATCGCGACTCTCCGGTTTATTCGTTTCCCCGGGCCGACGGGTGTGTACAGGAGGTTTATAATTCCTGGCCTCATCGCCGAATGTGCGATGAAACCAACAAACAACCTGGTCGCTTCGCCGTTCTCGGCTGGGGGTTCGTCTCCGTCGAGATGGGGTCGATGTCCTCGTCCGCGGGCGCAGGGAGATCTGGAGCTCCCGAATTTGCCGTTGAAGGTCGGCCAACGCCCGTTCCGTTTTACTAGGCTCGTAGCGTTCGTGCTTCGCTATGTCGGGGGCGCGAACAGCGTTAACGCTGCGGTCGAACTGTGCAAAAACAAGATCAGCAGATTCTGCCAAATCATCCAGAGGCGTGGCTCTCGTCATTGGTGCGATGATTTGAGCGACAGATTTAGGCAAATGCTCCAGCCATAAACCTCGAAGAACCTTCTCTGATACGTTGTGCTTTCCCAGCTGGTTCCTCATATATCTGAGAAGCTGGGATGGCGTTTTGTCGCCTCTAGTGACGTTCCGCAGTATCTCTTGAATCATATCTTCCTCGGAACGTCCGGTTCGCTTGAGAATTGCTTCCTTTAAGTGATCGTACGGTTCATGCTCGCGCAAATCGGAGAGGACGTCAGAAATTTCGTCCATCATATCGGATGGGAGTTTCTGCATTACATTCGCGAATCTGGCTCGCTGTGAAGTAATGCGTAGCATTGAAAAGATGGATTCCACCTGCAAGAACCAATTCTTGGCATTATGGTGGTATGCAGGCAGAGGTATGATCGCAGCCGTCATGTCCAAAGAATCACTTTTAGCCGACTCCATCATCGCTTAGCTGTCTCACGTCTGGAAGTCACCACTTGTTGCGGGGCCGAGTAGGATGTCGCCCCCGCAAGGTTTTTATGTAGATAAATGTGAACAGCTAAGACAATGAGGGGACAAAGGCAAAGGTTTTGGTTATGAACAAAAGTGTTGAATTTATTTAACACAATTACATCGGTGTGGTTTGGTATGAACTGGTTGATCTACGGACGTGGCTGGTTCGGTCAAATATAGGTGGTCTGGTCCGGTAGTTGGTTTGGTAGGCGAACGTAGCAGGTTCGGTCGGAATATAGTAGGTCTGGTCCGGTAGTTGGTTTGGTAGGCGAACGTAGCTGGTTCGGTCAAATATCGAAGACGGAGTCCCTAAACAGGGCCAAGACAGAAACAGTAATACGACTCCGCTGGGCGGATCAACCGCGGAAGCGGGATCGCGCCAAAGTGTATCACCAGACGAAGAACGGAGTCCCCAAACAGGGCCAAGCCAGAACCAGTAATACAACTCCGCTGGGCGGATCGACCGTGGAAGCGGGATCGCGCCAAAGTGTATCACCAGACGAAGAACGGAGTCCCTAAACAGGGCCAAGCCAGAACCAGTAATACAACTCCGCTGGGCGGATCGACCGTGGAAGCGGGATCGCGCCAAAGTGTATCACCAGACGAAGAACGGAGTCCCTAAACAGGGCCAAACCAGACCAGTGATGCGACTTCACAGGGCGGATCGACCGCGGGAACGGGATCGCGCCAAAGTGTATCACCAGGCGAAGACGGGTCAGAGAGGTGTTACACCTTCCAGGGCGGATCGACCGTGGAGACGGGATCGCGCCGAAGAGTAACACTCTCGACAAAAGCACCGGAAGTTCACAAAGGCAGCGTACTACACTTTGATCCAGGCCTCCGGGCCGAGCAGCTTGGTTTGGGCGAAAAAGTGCTCCCTGGCTAGAGGGAGTAGAAGACCGTAGATAATTAATTACTGTCTATGGTTGCTGATGTTTGGAATGGCTCTGCATAGTCAGATGCACACTAGGTATGGTTTGGCATCAACGATATTGGACTAGCCGTCCGGTTTCTCGCATGTTGCTTGACCTAGATCTGCGAGAACGGGTGTTGTGAAGGTCAAGGTCGGTTTTCTAAGGAGCGGATAATCGGCGACCGCGACAATCTACACACCATCCATTTCTATCAACATACCACAACACACTCAGTCTCTTCTAATCTATTACCTTGTTCTTCTCTATTCTCATTTAACACCTCAGTATCTTCAGTCTCCGAGTCTTCATGGTTTTAGCACAATCTTAGTTGGTCATCATGCGCCAATTGGAAACCAATGCTGTATTCTGCCCCTTCTGCATTACGAATCTTACTTTTTCTGGCCAACTCTTCCTCGTTTCTCTTGTACCATATCTTCTCATTCGTTGAGTATGGCATTGTTAATGGTGCTCTAATTTGTCTTCCCATTAAAGCGGATGGACTTTGTGTGATGGCTTAGCTCGGAGCTCGAAACGTGTGCGAACGTGTCTTGCTTGCATGATAAATCCGAGAGAAAACATGGCCGCTGTCGAAGACGCGATTTATACGCGCCGGTCTCGTCCAAAACGAGATTGTACCAGTACACATGCAAATTTCAGCTGTGTCGGACCAGCATAAAAAGGCGAGGCGTCAGCGGCACAGCAGAAGCGAATGATTCGGCGGACTTCGTGAAACAGAGTCGGACGTGCGAATAGACTGGCGGACCAAGAGGCAGCTGAAGTAGGCGCGTCTGATTTGGGTGTCCGTTTCACGACTGCCTGGTGTAACGGCCGAGAAAAAAAAAGGTGTCTCGCAATTCATTTATTTGAGGCGACCGACGGCGAAGAAGAACAGCTGTTTTGCCGGCGAACCCTCTCGTCACTTTTTTTTTCTTTTTTTCTTTTCTTTTTTCTACACTTTGTAATCTTCCGGCATGAGGCATTGTCCAGGAACTTAATAACAATCTTGGTAAAAATTTTTCGATTCTTTCATGCTGTGGGGAGAAGGCTTTTAAACCCATTTTTATGGTCTGTACCATTCGCTCCGTTATTCCATTTGATTGCGGATCATAAGGAGGGATTTTATACGGCATGCATCCAATGTTTCTTAACCATTCAACTTTATACTCTTGAACGTATTCCTTTTGTTTTTATCTATCGTAAAAACATTCGTTTGATTTTTTTTCCGTCCTGCACTATTTCCACATTTTTTACATTCAGTGGCGTAGCTAGAGTAAACGTCACCCGGGGCGGTCCGCTCAAATGTCACCCCAATGACCCCGATTCACCCTATGCTGAATGGTTAGCTGTAGCTAAATTTTCATACATGCTCTACCTCTACTTCACTCTACTGACCGGTACGTTACTGTTTACAATGTATGATCCAAGACAAAATCCAATACCACAAAATAATCAGTTCAAATCAAAAACTGAAAACATTGCTATTTTTCCTACTCACAAATTTCCCGACAATTTATTAGAAAATTTCTGACGGGGGGACAACACTGGGAGGGTCATAAATTATTTCTGGGGTGTCATATGCCCGCCTGCGAAACCCTGTGTCTCCATCACTGTTTTCAGACTATTTTTGGCACCTTAGCCTGGTTGAAAAATTTTGTTTGGGTTGACATTGTGTCACCCCTCCTGTGCTGGCACCCGGGGTGGTCCGCCCCTAACCCCCCCCCCTAGCTACGCCACTGTTTACATTGTTGCTTTTTTTCTACAATTATCACATACCCTTCCCCATGCGGGACATTTTTCTCTTTTTGGCTCATGTTCATAACTGCAATACTTGCATTTTGATTTTATTTTTTTTAATGGCACATATTTCCATCATTTCTTGTTGATTTCTTTTGTTATTGTATTTTTCAATCAACTCGTCCTGTTGTATAAATTCAACACACGTATGGGGGACTTCACCACATTAATTTAACTTTGATAAGGAAACATGACTCACGCAAGAAGAATATCCACAAGACATTGTTGCACATAAAATATATGTATATTAACAAGATGTACAATATCAAACAACGATGTGAAAGAAAACATGTATTTAAGAAAGGTTGAATTAATCAAGAGTTGCTTCTCTTTGACTGAAATTTAAGAGTTCAGTGAGAGATAATTATTTGGTTTAAAGTTCACTGGAGAAATGTTCATGAGTGTTTCATGATATAATTGTTCTTGTGATATTACTGTTGAAAAGTATTGTTGTGCTAAAAGAAGTTTTTAGTGAAGGTGTACAAATTATCATCAGGGTGTGAATGAGAAGGTTGGCGCGTGGTTAGAACTGGAGTTCCAACTGTCGTAGATTCGTTTAGCAGTTGAGGTCTCACTAATTGATATGAGAAAAATCTTGGCTTAAATAAGCGACTATAGGCTCCGATTTGTTGCGCGGGAAAAATTATTCACCAAGTGCAGACGATCTGATTGGTTGGCATCAATCAATCAGTGAGCGAGCTTTGGGGAGACTTAAGGAAGCTTCTGTGAGCCACTTCTTAAAAAATAAAGCGATTCCAAAAATTGTCGCATTACTGCGATTTGTAAATTGCCTGTAGAAAATGTATTAGTGGTTTATTAGCCAATGATTGTTTGGCATTGTACATGTGATTTTGTGTTTGTATGTATATATTCGTGCGTAAGTACGTTCGCACACACGCTTCCAAATTTATATTATTGGACTGCAACCTTTCCAAAGTTTTAAGTCTTTACGTAGTATCGTATAATCCTTCCAGCAGTCGATGCTGAATCAATTCCCCCTCTATTTTCATTCCATTTCTTCCAAGTTCATTAAACTCGCAATACCTACTAGTATCTCTTAGTCTACGGAGATATTTCCTAATAAGTTCTCCAGACTCTTGTCTTAACGCTAGAAATTTGGTCCTTTCAGCAATGACCAATCTTTTTTTTTCTTTTGGTTGGATAGTCTTTAAAATTATGTCCTTAATGTCTTTAAAGTTTAAGGACACTTGCTTAATAGCTTTACATCCCCACGGTGGCCATAAATAAATCCGTGATTTGTTTCTGCTTTTGGTCATCCGCTAATTTCTTCATTCTGGCCATTGCCTCAAAAGTCAAAACAGTTTAACCAGATAATAACCTCTTCAGGGTTTTCCATATCCAACATAGTT